GAACTGCTTCAAAATCTACACTTTTCAGGTTTAGTCCCTCCCTCCCTCCCTTCCTTACTTCCTTTTATAAGCTTGCCAAAAGATAAACTGGAATTGATACTCAACTGATACCTTTTCAGTGGCTCCCATGTCTGTTCTAACGTAGACTGCCAATTCCTCGGGGCAGGAATCTGGATGTTGTTTCGTTTGTACATTCAGCAAGGTTAAATATGGGCAGTAATGCTGGGGCACATATGTGTCATAAAGCTTTTGGATACAAATCATTTCTGAACTCTTGTCCTGATCTGTTCTAAATGTGCAGAGCCGGATTGTTTTTAATTGTTAAGAAATGTTTAAGCATTTTTAAAAGGTACTTTGCATTTAGTCTATCTACTGTATATATTTTTGCTGGTTTTAGTCACATTTTGCTCTAAGTTGTTGTTCGCTGTCATTGTTTTTGTTTTTAAAGGCAGCATATTGTTATTTTAAACAACAACAACAACAAACTAAATGCATATGTGGCAGAAGCCATTAATAATAATAATATTCCACCCTAACTTTATTGGCAAGTTGCATCTCAGTGAAATCTTTAATGTATTTTAAGGTCTTGAGATTTCTGCTATGACGTTCTCTCATCTCCACAACAGTGTCATCACTGTTCCTGTCCTGTGATGTGGGCGAGGGGGTGGATCCATTCATGCTCTGTTTGCAAAGACTTATCTGAAAAAAAGCCTCAGGAAGCAGAAATGACAACACAGGGGAGGGTCAGAAACAGAGACTCTGCACCCACAAGGACTGTGCTTCTGCTTCTGCTTGGGAGGCAGCAAATAACAGCTGCAAATACCACATACAAGAGATGTGGCTCTTTGGCCACAAAGCTCAGTCTTTAGGGTTACCATTTCTGGGTCTATCTCTTAATTCTAGGCTGCCATTTTTTTTTTTTTTTGCAGGCCAAATTCTGTAGCCCTATCAACGTTAGCACTTAAGACTCTGGCTGTGGGTGGCTGCAGCAGTGATGGGTTACTCTTAAATTTCCCATATTTCCCCCAGTATAACAGTCCTCTAAGACCTTGTGGGAAATTCACATGAAGAGGGGAGGCCATCCCAGGTCACTTTGCATAGGCCTCTTCATACTGCAACCTAGCCCTAGTGGCTAGAAGTAGAACCTGGCCAAATGGAGACCACCTTCCCATCTTCATCAGTTGTCATCAACTTTTTAAACAAGGCATACAATAACCTTGTTATAGTGAGCTATGGACCAGAAGGTCTCTGCTTTCTCATCTTTGCTGTGAATTCACTAGGTAACCCCAAATTACTGGTAATATGAGGATAAAACACTAATCTAGGAAACCATAAAAACAATTATACAATACAGAGAAAAAGTGGACATTCACAAGGACACCTTGGCCACAATGAAATTAAATAAACACAAGAGAAGCATTGGAAGAACTTCTAATGCAAATTTCTATCACATTGAATGAGAGTTAATGAGGAAAAAATGCAGCAGACTCTCTCAGTACAGCCCCAGTTGCTATATCAAAAGTGCTGATAATATGATAGGCAAACCTGTTCAGAAGTGAGCATAAAGACAACACCTAGTAGAGAAGGCAGATGAAGCTCTGGATCTGCTGCAACTGAACTCCTCTACTTCAAAACCACGCAGCCATGGGTATCTGTTGTAGTGGGGGAGCAGGAGAAGTGACAAAAGGTGTGTCAGTGGGTCATGATGCCAAACCTGACTTCCATACTTGGATGCAAATTTGTAATGGTGGTGTTTGCATCATGGTATCATTGCACATACCATTTTGATGTAATCTGTATGCTGTGGTACCTGCATATGCAGCCCTTGCAGTGTAGTACCTCACTCTGTTCCCTGTTTTCCTGCAGAGTCCAACACTCTGTATTGAGCTCTGCCTGGGGTGAATCAAACTCTTCTCTACCCATTCTGTGTCAGAGAATGAAAAAGGTCATCCTGGGTCAGAGGGCTAAGTGATGCTCTGTTTAAAGCCATACCTGTGGCATAATCACATAACAGTTTGCCCTTGTTTCTTGCCAAGGTCCTAGTTTTCCAGATTTTTTTTAAATGATAACCTATTTCAGAAGAGTTTTGAATAGCATGGACAACATAGCTCAAAGGCTTTCATTTTAAATTCATCCTTGTTTTGAGAGACAAAAAGCAGCTGAATGATTTCAATATCAACTTATGCATGCCTAGGCTGTTATTACAAACAGTAGGAGAAGGAAGCGGATTATCTTTGCAATAAAATAGGAAGACAAATCCTTGCACACAGGAAATGAAGAAGAAAATGTATTATTGCCAATAAGAGAAAGGAACCTAAATTCTTTGGAAGAGAGTAGGAAAAGTGGTAGAAAAGAAGAATGACAAACATCAGACACCAAGAAAGAAACTTAGACTTCAGAGGAACTGATTTTCTAAAAGTTGTAGTGAAAGTTCCTGAAAATCTTGGAGATCTGACAAAATTACAAGCTCTGACTGAAATTGCAAGTGTGGCCTTGGATATGGTTTTCTGAAGGCACACCTCTTTGTAAACAGAAAAACAACTGTTTGAGCTGGTAGTTTTTAGTGGTGTAGCCACAATATATTTTGAAGCCTAGACTTAAAAAGTGTTATGGGGGGTGTGTGTGACCTTTGCAATTAAGTACCACTCTGTAATAGAAAATAGCAATGTATTTTAAAAGAAAAATATTGAAACAAGTGCTTGTAATTGTGTACAGGAACCACTGACCGTCTCCTAACACTGTATTTTTAAAAGAATCAAGACAAGGATGCAGCAGCAGGGGGTAGCAGACCTTGTGGTTCCTGGCACATCCAGGTCAGCACATAAATGGTTGCTAGACCAACTTATTGCTGCCCTTGGGATCATTGAGGAGCCTCTTCCCCAGTACCATTAATTATTTTCCATAACAAAGATTATTTTTCATAATTTTGCTAGTCTTGCCCCGTTCCAAGGTATTACATTCATTGAAAACCTAGAGTCCATTAGGTTTTTTGTTTTGGAAAAGAAAGCCATGGTTAGCATTGCTCTTATCTGTCCTCCCTCATGGTCCCCCAGTTTGGTGGCAGAAGGACCCCCAAACTTCCGGGGGAGATGTGGGGGACATAATAAAGGTAGAATTCTCCAGCAGTTCCCATTCTTTGGCAGAGGACACTGTGGGGCTTAATTGAGAAGGGCTAGTTCTAGGTTTGACATACAAACCGTGTTTCTATTTTATTGCACTCCACACCACTTATCAGAGCATGTGAAAAGCCCCAAAGCCCTGCTAGCAAGGGACTCATGGTGGAATTATAAATGAGCAGCATTCACTGTCATTTTTCCTCCATAAAGTGAGAGGAGAGGATGTTACTGAAATGTATGGCACCTGTGGGTTAACCTGCAGGCAGGTTCACATGAGGAAAGAAAATCCTAAATTCCCTTTGCTCTAAAACATTCTCAACCTTGGTAGTGTTAAGATGTGTGGACTTTAACTCCCAGAATTCCCCAGCCAGCATGCTAGATGCATGTTGAACCCAGGTCTGTTCTAGTTTGTGAAATCTGTTAAGATGGAGCTAGTGTGCTGGACTACAGATATTGCTAAGAAAGATACTCTTCCAGTTGTATTAAAAGATACAGTCATCGTTAAAAATGATTCATTAAATCTTTCAGAATTTCATAGAATCAGAGTTGGAAGGGACTTTGGAGGTCTTCTAGTCCAACCTCCTGCCCAAGGCAGGAGTCCTCATACCATCTTGGACAAATGGTTGTCCAATCTTTTCTTTAAAAACCTCCAGCAATGGAGTACCCACAACTCCAGGAGGCAAGCTGTTCCACTGCTTAATAGTTCTGTCAGGAAATTCCTCATTTCCAGGTTGGATCTCCCTCTTCTACTCATTGCTTCTTGTCCTACCCGCAGGTGCTATGGAGAATAAATTGATGCCCTATTCTCTGTGGCAGTTCCAATACTTCTTTCAAGTATTGGAAGACTGCCATCATGTCTCTCTTCAGTCTTCTCTTTCTTAAACTAAATGTATTTCAAATTTGTCACTGCCCATCTCACTGCAGGGAGACATATCTAGTTCTTTTAGCCATTCTTCATAGGATTTAGCTTCCAGACCCCTTATCATCTTTGTCGCTCTTCTCTGCACTCTTTCTAGGGCCTTAGCATCTTTTTCGTATTGTGGTGACCAGAACTGAACACAGTATTCCAAATGTGGCCTCACCAGTGCAGTGTAGACTGGTACTGTCACTTACCTTGATCTTGATACTGTTGATGTAGCCTAGGACTATGTTGGCTTTTTTTGGCAGCTGCAGTACACTGGTGACTCATACTTAAGTGGTGGTCCACCAGGACACCTAGATCCCTCAACAATATCTCAGCATAGGCATTACTGTACCTGTGCATCTAATTTTTCCTGCCTAAGTGCAGGATCTTACTTTTCTCTCCACTGAACTGCATCTTGTTGGATAGGGGCCCAATGCTCAAGTCTGTCAAGATCCTTCTGAATCTTGAATCTATCTTCTGAGGTGTTAGCAATTCCCCCCAGCTTTGTGTCATCTGCAAATTTGATAAGTGCCCCTTCAATCCCCTCATCTAGGTCATTTATGAAGATATTGAAGAGCACTGGGCCCCAAAAATAACCTTGATGTACCCCACTGCATACTTCCCTCCACGTAGATGTAGTTCCTTTAAGGACCTGTTAGTGGTACTGTTTATCCCACACTGTTCTGTCTTACTAAGAAGTAGGCTGTGATCTACTTTATCAAATGCAAAATTTATCAAATTTGTTCCAAAACAAGTTTCAATGTACAAATTTTAAATCCTTCAAAAATAAAAGGTGCTATTTACAGCTTCTCATGGAATAACCAGCCTGGATTTTATCAGAATAAAACCTACTGCCTCTATTACCTTGTACCAGAAGCACAGAACTCCTTAACTATTGTATAAATAAAGCAGATGAGACTAGAATTTATATTTGTTTGAAAAATTCTTTTTACAGTACATACAAAAATACTCTGCACACACTTTTTTGGTTTTGATTATTTTTTACAAAAAACAGGCATTACAAAATTTAAGATTTGAAAATGGCATTTGCTCCTGCTGTATCAGGACATGGGCTCTGAAGGAAAGCATGGTTCTGCAAGAGTCCAGTGGTCGTATAGTGGGTGATATTGATTCTAGTGAAGTTGTTCAGAAAGCTACAGAATTCAGACTTGACGAAAACTCATTCTACCCCAGCATTCCCAGTCCCAGTTCACAGAAGAATAAAGAGCACTCATTCATTCATAAGGCAGGCCAAAATATGGAAGATAATTTTCAGATCATTCAACATGGAAATAAAAATAGATTGGATTGCAAGTTATGGTTTTACAAGGCCCTCTAACAATTCTGAAATTCAAGTGATACGGTGACCACTTTTCTTGCATTCCAGTATTGTGGAAGATGAGTCGATTTAAATTTTTATTTATAGATTAGCATGCAATCCAGCTAAACACTGAAGTATATTTAACTCCCATTGATTTAAAATTGGGGTGCTAGATGTGTAGAGAGAAGAATCAAAGTTAAATTCACATCTCACTATTACAGGGCTTTAATACAACTGAACAATGGCTGAAATTGTGCTCTAGGTTTTCCTTTTGTGAGCCTCCATGGGAAGCAGCTGTTTTGGTACATCTACATATGTGCCAAATAGATTGTTTTTTAAAGGAGAAGCACCTCCAATATTTACACACATACTCCTGTGCATTATTACAAGAACCCCTATGGCAACCTGCTATGCAGATCACCAGCCAGCCTTCCATACCACCAAGACTGGTTGTGGATTTTCTGGTTAGAACAATAGTGTTAAGAGTATATTTAAGAAAGAGATTCAGTCTACCTGCACTTCTCCAATGCCATTGATAACAACTGAAATACACCAGAGCTAAGTACTCTGTATGCCAACCCTTTCAGGAAAAATAAAGGCAAGACATTTTTGGGGGGGGGGTTTCGTAGCAAAAACATTTTCTGCTGAAAGAAGAATAACTCAGATAGAAGACTTAAAATAAAGCTATGCTTCTGCACAGTGAAAATAAAGGCCCAGTCCAAGGGAATAAACCTTACATTATAGGAATACCCACACACCACAAATTTTGGAAGAACAGTAGCTTGAATTTTTTTACAACAATTAAGACAGTGTAATACTTTAGAGAGAAATACACCAGAAGATTAAGCCATTTTAAACAACGATGGGTGCTATGCATAAAGCCAATATCGGTCTACTTAACATTGTCTTGACACCAACTTGGAGCAGTTATTCAGGAAGTCAGGCGGAGGAGTTTCCCAGCTCTGTTATGAGAGATCCAAACTGGAGCTGACAGGGACCGATATGCAAATCATATGTTGTACCATTTAGATGCAGTCTCTGTCTTCATGCTTTGGGTGTCGCTTGCTACTACAGTAGTATGGATACAGTAACTTTAGGATGCCTTTTAACAGAAGAATATCTTATGATGCTGTTGATGAAAGTCTTTTTTTTAGTCAAGATTTCAAAATTATGCATTTTAAACTGAAACTGTTTATGTTATTTTCTTTTAAATAATAAGATTTGCACTTTGTTAAATAAACTCACGGGTAAAGAAAAAAGAGGACAAGCATACATTTGTTGATGATCTTTGCTATACTCACAACATTTCCCAACCTGGTGCCTTCCAGATGCAGGCACACTGGTTAGAAATTTTGGGAATTACTGTCTCTACACATCTGGTGAGTATTAAGTGAGACACATCTGATTTAAAGAATTTATGTTCCATACTTCAACAACTTTGTAGGGTATCTATAAACATTTGAATTAAGTATAATCAGGATTCCATTCAGTACTGCACAATGCAGCTGGAATTTTGTGTACGCAATGGAATTTCTTTTTCCTCTCTCATCCCCCCATACTCCCTCCCCTGCCCCAAATCTGCATATAGAAGGACCCTCAACCTTCTGGAGCTGATTTGGGAAAATCAAATGAGCCTTACAAGAGAAGAAGAGGAACCAATTCTAGCACTAGATATTTGTTCTGATAGAGAGCTGGAGTGGATCAGGGCACTTTCTCTGTGAGTTAAAAAAAGTTTATTAGTGATTGCAGCCAAGTTAATATGCTCAAAAGAGAAACAAGAGGGTAATGACAATAGCTGAAATAAAGAAATGAGCAATAGCCATTAAATGCACTATATCTACTATTACCTGGTAAAGCACTGCTATCGATTAAGAGTCAGTCTGATGGAGTTTTTAACAACACGAACCATGCCACTTGCTGGGATTGGAGAAGATGAATCTGGCAATTCTTTACTAGAAAGCCGCTGCAAATGAAAACAAATTAGATGAGGGAAGCAAGATTCCAGAGATATGAGTACAAGCCTAGATCAAAGCAACATCTTATATCAACCCTACTACTAAGATATCTTTCATCTCCATGTGCTCAGCTTCTGTTACTACTATTGAGGGGAGATGGTTGATTTAAAGCTTTTAGCTTGCAAGCTAATCTAAGAGTCCTTGTGGGTGGGTGGCAACCCCTAAAAGTTAGAATAAAATACAAATTCTATATTAAGTGTGAGCAATGCTTTGGATTTGACAAGAGATACTTCAGAATGCATATCAGCTGTGAGCTTCCTGCTGCAGCCTCATAATCCTGAAATCAGACATGGCTGTTTTAATAACTCACAGACAGGTACTGTGTGCTCTGAAGCACCCATTCCCAGTCAAATCTAAACCACTGCCCAGCCCTGTTATATGTAATGTCATTTCAGTGAGAGCAAATTACAAAGCATGTAGGGGCATTAGAGAACACAAAATGAAAGCCACATAAATATTAAAAGTCTTCAGACATCAGTTATTACCTCCATTTTTGTTCCAAATACTAATGTGCAGTTAATACCTGTGATCTTTGTGTATCAAAAGTTGGAAGAGTCATGGTGTCTTCACGGCTATGCTAACAGGAAGAGAAACATAAGAAGTAAGTAACAAAGTGGAAGAAATAGTGGGCCACAGGCAGCCGGTACAAGCCACAATGATGTCACTGCACAAATGTCACAAATGGTGTCATATCTGCAATAGTGTCATTGCACAAGCGGTGTCACTTGCACACAGACACTCAGACATTCATGCAGTGGACTTTTGTCAGGATCAGATCATTTTCTACAATAAGGAATTCATAGCCCTCCAGATGCTGATGAATTGCAACTTTCTGTATACCTCACAACTTACTCTGACATCTGAAACTTGTATAAAGTAATGCAGCATTTCCCTCCTTTCCCATCTCTGAGTCTTGACACTAATGTCTACTTTGATAGCATAACAGAGCTGAATTTGGACAAAAATACACCAAATTATTGAAGTATGTAAAGCCAGGTTGAACACCTCATTTACACACCTTGAAGACTCTTTGTCATATTAGAAATAGTCATCTTGTCATGCAACACATGCACACATCACTACTGGCTTCTGATCCATTCCTTTCTTCACCTCCCCAATGTGTAAATCAAGGTAATAATTCAAAAAGGGAAAAGACTGGAATACCTCCTGAATGTTTTGCCAGGAAACAAACTCAATATGTTTAATATAAATTATGCAAACAGTTATATTAAATTAGCCATAGAACCCACAGGGGGGCAGGGGGGAAGGGAAGGAACATTACTAATGCCCGTTATAGAGCCATTACTAAGATTTTCACTGTTATTAAAGTCTGAGCTAGCTTGGGTGTTTTTCTCCAAGAAATCACAATCTCTATCTATGTTTGTTCAAAAAATAACTTTTGCTCAGTTTAAGGCTGTAGTCCCCAGCAGAGTTTTATTATCAGTCATGTAACTGTGTCCTCGTTGATCAATCCACTTTAACACTGAAGCTGTACTGGGACTTCCTTCTGAAAAGAGACACTTACCTTGTCTACATCTTTCAGCCGCTTAAGACAATCTTCAGAGGCTGGTGAATGACCTCTCTTATGTGCAAAGTTATTTTTAACAGAACCTATTCCATCCAGGTATCCCTGGGAATAGGTAGAAGCAGGGGCGATAGTCGGAGGAATCCTATTTTGCTCTATGGCCATGGAGACACTACAGGAACTTAAAGGCAGAGCTGTGTCCACTGTAGCTGTGAGATCCAACTCTGCAAATTGGAGTAAAGTTAAGTTTTACTTAATGAGCCTAAAAAAGAATACTTGCTAATTTTCAAGTTGAGTACATACAAGAGGCAATACCTGGCACAGACATCACTGACCGAGTAATGGCCCATGGCTTCTCTCGCCTCTCATATACAGTAGGTTTTTGAAGGACACCAGACCTGTGAAAAGCAGCACTGGTTAAGAAATATTTCATGGAGGTGATCATATGTTATGATAAAAACCTTCCACAATAACAGCAGAAAGCAGTTGCTAAAATGGATGAGAATGACCTAATGATGCCTGACCAAGAATAGATGAGAATGATAATTGAAGAGTATCTGTTTAGAAAAAGTCTATTTATTTCAAATATACGGCTTAGGAATAAGTCTATTCATATGCACACATAGAACAAAAATGAATGAGGAAACATGAGCGACCTGACTGTTTATGATGAAAGGCTGAGGGAATTAATGAAAGAAGTTCTGTATGATTTAAGAAAAGAGATTTGGAAGCAGCTTGGAAGAGAGAGAAAAGCATTATGTTACACATGTCATTGAAGTCTGTGGTGTTATGTTAATGAAAAACATGTAAAGGGATGCTTGGTAGTATGATGAAGTGAAAGAGGTTGTGAGTGAGGAAAAACGAATTATCGCAAAAATAAGTAAGTATAAAGAAAGATAATGTGTAGAGGAAGAAAAATACAGTTGAAAAGAATGTAGTCAAAAAGGTAATGATTAAAATTAAAAGAGAAAGAAAAATGCTTAATGATTTTGATGGAAATTAATTGTTTGAGAGTGAACAAAGAGGGCTAAAAAAGGAGCCTCCAAAAGAGTGACTGGAATTAAAAATAAAAGTAATGAGATTATTTGGATGAAACAAAGTGAGGGAATATTGGAAGAAGCATTTCAGAGATCTGCATGAGAAACAGTAGAATTTTTCTCTCTTCAAAAGTAAAGATAGCAAAAGTAAACACAAGAATTACCTGGAACAATTTTTTTTAAGTAGGCCTGTCGGGGTGTCTGACAGAAATTTGTCCAAAAGGATACAAGAAATAACAAAAGTCTGGGAAATGCAGTGCGGTTTTATCTAAGGCAGTGGATGAGACGACCAAATTTTGCTCTTCAGCAGCTCACTGGGAATCCAGTTCTCCTGCGTAAGCACTACAACATAAACTGGTCCAGAATCAGGATGGGCAAATCATAGCTTGTGGGACTATGTTTCATGAATTTATAGAGCAGGTTTTCTCCCCTCCACTAATTTTTGCAAAATACAGGTGTTTTAAATCTCTGTGAGCGCACCCCTTTGGCCCCTTAAGTCCTACTAAATCCCTTAAAGCACAGAGAACAGAATGAACATTTTGCTTCCTCCTATTTTGGTGGTATCGTGTCATTTTGGCCTTCTGAGGCCTAAAAAATTATACAAACCATATAAATTATTCATTGCTGACCTAAGCTCTCATCCTTCCAATTCAATACAGTAATTGCCATTCTTCCCACTTCATGTAGCTAGAGCAGTGAAGGATGGAGTTGTGAGAGTCTCAACCATGCCACTCTGTAGCCAGAAGTGGACCTTGGGGAAAGGCAGTGGTCAGAGTGCTAATTATTTACATACAGGAGTAGCTTTGCATTCTCACATCTTAAAAGTAATACTGATGCTAGCCACCTGACATAGCCACACCTACCTTTCTGTTTCTTTTGAAAAAGATTTACTGCAATATTCCACCACGTTGCTGAATGACGGAACAGTTTTGCACTGCGTGGTAACTTCTGCACTGCTGTAAGTGTCCAAACAGCTATCATTTACCATTGTTCTTTTCAACACAACCCCACAAGCATGTCCACCAAGATCAGGCACACTCTGTTGAGATAATTTCAGTTTAGATATACAGATCTGTAAATGAGGTGCTGTCAGAAAGACCAAAATTTGGGCAAACCTTTTTCCTCTTCTGCAAGAAGTCTACTGGCAAGTAATAATGGAGTTGTTTCTTCCTCACATGAGTAGCTTCAATCTTCATGCCTTCTTTCAACATGTTGATGTTGTTTGCTTGCCTATAAACTAAGATCAAAGATGACAAAGTCAAGAAGTCATCCAACAACTCAAGCAACTTTGATCAGCCCCATAACTTGCTGTTCTGCTACTGCTGGAACCATCTCCCCAATCCATAAGGCAGCTATCAGAGCCACACTACAATAATCATCCTATCTTCAGGAAATGGAATGAAGCCATACAGCTCTGCCACACTGTCAGTGAATAGAAACAAAGAAAATGATTTAAATCAGTTCGTTTTTGCAATACATATGTACTATGAGTCCTGATATTTTGGCTCCTGAAGGCTCTTAGGGTGTCTAATAGTCCTGTCTTACTGGTAGACTTGATTTTAGTAGCAGGGTACAAATAGTAGGGGAACCTAGGGGTACAGGCACAATCGTCTTTCCTTCTGGAATCTGATTCTTAATCTGACTCTTAAATCAACATTACCCTTTCTGCAGTGAAAGCCTGCATAAGTTTTTTCAAGAGAATTAAGCTGCAGACTTCTTTAGCTTATTAGCTTGACCATGCAATGAAATACTGAGGCATACTGGACATGTTAACTCAGTCTATACAAATATCATTATATGGGAGTTGGTGTATTACAAACTAGATTTTAAAACACAACTGTCAGCTGGTTTAATTCTTGTCTCCATTAAACCAACATAAAATTATTACATGTTTTCTAACAAAGGTCTTACATAACTTAAAACCCAAGAATGAATGAATGAACGAATAAATAAATAAATAAATAAAGAGGGAGGGATTGATCTCTCCCCCACTCCATAGCAATCTAGCTTGTAGAGTTAGAATAGTACATAGGCATATGTGAATACCTGTATATCCAATGCATTTTATCGCCTGGTTTACAGGATACATTTCTACTCTAGCAGATATATGCCAAGACATTTAAAAAATCTTATTTTTATATCCAGAAACAAATGTCCTAGTCTGTATAGAGGCAGAGGCAGTGGTGTGCTGGTAAATGTTTAATAACTGGCTCTGCCGACTCCATTGCTGCTGCTGCACTGCTAGTCGCCGAACAGCTGATCAGTATGCCCGGTGTGGTGGCTCTGCTCTCTACTGGCTCACAAAATTCCAGGAAATTTAACAATCGGCTCTTGCAAGCTGGTACGAGCCAGCTCCAGCTCACCACTGGGCAGAGGGCTCCACTTTCCACTTTGGAAAACATATAATATGATCACAACTTTTGGCTTTTTTTTTTTTCTTTCCAGTGAATACACCTAAGTTGCTTACAGTGATGTTCAGCTTTCAAAAATAGCTTTTGCAGCATTTTGTAGGCTGTCCAGTTAACTACATTTCACAAGGCACTTTTCTTCTCTAAATAAAAGCTCCAGACACCTCATACATTTTGAAAAGTGAGCTTGTTTTTTTTCCTCTGGGGAAGGACAAGTCCTAATTGGACTTCTGTGAACACTTATCCAGAGGAGTCCATTTTAAAACTCCTATTAATTCTAATGGTAAAACAAACAACAGAATCTAATTAAATTCCAAAAATACCACTTGGAAAGATAAATGCCTCACTGCAGCATAGTTAAGAGAAATTCCCACTGATTATGTTGAACTTTACATATTGCCAATAATTCCAAGACTATAGGGAGCAGATTCACCTACAAGCAAGTTCAATATAGGTACAACGGATGCATTTAAAAAAAAAAACAAGCAAAGGATGTGTTCTCTTGCAATCAAGAAATCAGGATTGTGTCAGTTCAATAGCCTTTAAAGGTATTAAAGAAATAGCATATCTTTGAAAAAATGATTTAAAGGAGAAATTTACTTCAGCACAGATTCTGCTTCACCTTCAAATCTTTCTGCAGTATACTAGCAACCCATATTCCTTTTCTCATTTTTTATAAGCCGCCTCAGTATGGATAACATTCCACTTGGTTGCCAAGTTGTCAGCAGCACTAATGTACACCGAAGGGAGGCACCCATCTGAAATAATATTGGCCCACTCAAAACAGGATTTTCAAGGGGAGAAAGTTTACCTGTATCTGTGAATGACTGGATATCATAGGTTAAGTCAATGCTTACACTCTCTGTGTTCTCCAGTTTCTTAAAAATTATTCCCAGAAACCACATTGATACATAATCACTCCTAGAGGGAGAGACACAAAACAACATATTAACAAAAAGTCCCAGTGCCAGTAGTGTTATGGTTAAGGGCTAAATGCAAATTACTTATGCATTAAACTGATTTCTTTGCAGAGCTTCAGATGTCAATAAAGAACAAAATTACATGTTACAAAGGATTTATGGACTTTGCAACACTTCGTTATTCTAATGAAGAGTAAACAACTTGTCAGGGCCTGTGGACTGTATGGGGTGCTCAGTTGGGCTGGACGCGCATACTATCTGCACACACATATACCTGCATGCACACATTCATGTAAATTCACACATACAGTGGGGCAAAAAAGTATTTAGTCAGCCACCAATTGTGCAAGTTCTCCTACTTAAAAAGATGAGAGAGGCCTGTAATTTTCATCATAGGTATACCTCAACTATGAGA